CGCGTTCCCCGCGCTGAGCGCCTCCTCGGAGGTCTCCGAGCCCGCCCGGTCGGGGTTCACGATCGAGGCCACCACCAACCGCGCCGTCAGCGGGGTCTCCTCCGGCGTCCGCCCCCCTCCGCTCAGCAGGAGCTCCTGCCAAAGCTCACAGCGCTGCGTGAGGAGCTGGAGGCGGTTTTGTAACCCGTTGCGGGACTCCTCGGCGACCTTTTCCTTCTGCTCCTGCGCCGTAAGGAGCTCTTTTTGGATGAGAAACTGCTCCCGCAAGGTGTTCACCTCCAGCGCGCCGTTCTCCAGCAGCGCGCGGTCGGCGGCCTCGAACTGGAGGAGGTACCGCATCCCGACTTGGAAGCACTCCTCGGCGTGGGTGAGGTGCGCGTGCAGGCGCTTCACCTGGGGGAACAAATCCACCTCATCGCGCTGTTTAAAAAACTCCCGCACGCAGATCTCATCGGTGAGCTCGACGAGGACCTCAAGGCTCTGCCCGAGCTTCCCAATCGTCGCGAATAACGCGCTGAGGGAGAACGTAGAAGGGGGGGGTTGAGGGGTGTCGTGGTGGGTATTCGCCGCCTCCAACGCGTTGTAGGCCTCCTGAACCCCGGCTAAGAAATCCGCCCGCTGTGGGGGGGAGATCTTCGTCGCGCTATGGCATTCGGCGCGGCAGCTAAACGAGGCGTTCTTGTCAAGATACATCCCTTCCGACAAGATAATCCTGCGTTGGTAGGCGCGGAGTTTTATCAGCTTATGGCATTTTTTCTTCACCTCAGCGTGGAGGGCGTGCTGATCGTGCTGGTTTGTCATGATTCCCCCGCCGCACTCACTCCCGGAGATGCCATCCTTCAGCTCAAACAACGAATTTGACGACCTCGCCACGCGATCTGCCGACTTTATCCGCTCCATCGGATCGTTTATAAACGAGGACGAGGAATCGGACGTTTTTTGGGACTGATAATTGTGCTTCAAAGACGACAAAATCCGCTGCTCCTCTTCCACCTGAGCGATCATGTTCACCTTCTCCCGCATCCCGCTCGATACCACCACCGCCTTTTCCATAATTCGCCGACAGGTCGAGTAGCTGTTGAAGAAATCCGCCTCGCCGCGCATCGGGAGATGGGATGGGAGCGGAGTTTCTACCCGCCCCGTGAGAGGGGTGTGAATCATCCGCGACGGAGCACCTCTTAAGGAGCCTAAGGTGGATCCGCGGCCGTCGGGCGGGGTGGGGTTGCGATCTTTAATCCGCGCGGTGGAGATGGGGCTGCCGTCCGAGGACGGCTGCGCGAGGGATAATCGCTGCGGGGTTTGTGGGAGCTTGGAGAGAATGCTCGAGGAGAGCGTGCGCCCGAGCAGATCCTGTTGGGGGAGGGAACGGGTTAACGCCGACGACCCCGTGCCCGGGGTTCGGGACCGCCTCCCATTGGAAAAGCAGGTGGAGGTGATGGAGACGACGGAATCCCGCCTTTTGGGACGTCCGGATCGGGAATCGTGAACCATGCGTTTCATGATAAAATCCTGTTGCTATAGTTATTTCTGTGGTTGCTATCTGTCCTGTTGGAATCACGGGAAGGTTTAAAAGAGACAAATTTATGGAGAATATATACATATATATATATATATATATATATATATGTACCAACTATCTTCACTTGAATACAATCGGCAAAGGAAAAGTACACCTTCTTTACGTTGTACCTCTCCTCACGTTGCCTTCAGACACTCTTCACTAAGGTATTCTCGGACCCTACACGCAAGAGAGGGCGTTTTATTTACTAAAGAACCCATATTCATAAGAAGCATCTATTACCTTTGTAATGAGTGAACGCGTAACGGCAAAGAATAATTATCTAACTAACCATACGCTTTCTCTCCGCTGACAGTTTGCATGATGAGAAAGCAGGAGGTTGAACTCTTTTGGGTCGCGTAATTACAGGGCCCATAATAAACTAAATTTTTTCATAAGATTGATGTACTTATAAATGCTTTTAGGAAAAAAAACACAAAAAAATAGTTATGAATTGTATCGCGCTTGGAGCGTTTACTAGAAAGAACTTAAACAATGGCACCATTCTATAGTTTTGATTAATATGCTAACGTAAAGTGCAATATATGCATTTTTCACTTATCACCTTTTATCACCACTATTGAAAGCAACTTTAGTTTGAATAATGGTGCCGCCCCCTAAAAGAGTGCATTATTCCTTGCCCAGGAGGGAGAGGATTACCTCATCCCAGAAGTTTCCCATTACTTTTTTTTACATTTTGACCTAGTATTGTCTGCCAAAGAATCCAAACATGCGGAAAGCAGGACGAAGGAAGTGATCCAATATAACAGGAAATATATAGAAATGGGGGGAAAAAATCATCGAGAATGGCGCCGGCTACCTGAAATGCTGTTTTAAGTCAGGACAAATGGATCACCGCATCCGAAATCGATGCAACGCGCTGATCATGGGTGGAGATGAGGACCGTTTTTTTATGCACATCGCGCAACTCCTTGATTGTGATCAGAAGCTTCTCAACCGTATCGCCGTCGAGACCGGTGGTTGGCTCATCCAATAGCACCAGCGAGCACGATCGCGTTTGCGCGAATACCCGCGCAAGGCAAATCCGCTGAAGCTGCCCCCCACTGAACGGTGGCTGGTTGACGTTCTCGATACGGGTGTGAAAAGGGTCCGCGACGAAGTCCTCACATCCCGCCTCGCGCATCGCCAGGTTCAGCTTCTTCTCGATCCACGCAAAGGTCTCAGACTTGGAGGAGGAGGACGAGGGGGGGGGTTTTGACTTCGTCTTGGCACCTTTCCGATCATCCCCCTCGCGCGCCGTGGGGACCCCACGGAGGTCGCGAAGGACGACGTTCTCAGCGACGCTTCCGAGAAAAACGGCGGGGTGCTGCTCGAGCAGCAGCGCACGACGTCGCGTGTGGACCACCCCGCGTTGCGGCCGCAAAAAGCCGGAAAGAAGACGCAAACAGGTGCTCTTCCCGCACCCACTCGGGCCGTAAAGCGAGGTGATCCGCCCCGCCGCGGCGCGCAGGCTGAGATCGCGAATCCCCCTTGGGAAACCCCCACCCTCCCCCGCGGAAGGGGGGGGCTCCACCCCGAGAAAAGCCGGCGCCACGCCGTACACGTAGCTCACTCGGCGAAGCTCGAGATCGGCGTGGGCGTCGTCGTGCAGGACGACCAACGGCCCCGCGAAAGAGGGCCCCACCGCCCCCCCAGGCGTCATCACAGACGTCTTAGCGGACTTCATAGGCGCATTAGTAGAAGAATTAGCGGACGTATTAGGGGGGATGGAGGTGCGGCTCGCAGCCTCAACCGTCGCCCGCGCGTTCGGGTTGGGATGGGATCCTCCCCGCATCCCCACGCGGCGGGCGGCCTTGCCGGATTCCCCAACCCCCCCATCGCGATCCCCTGCGGGGATCACCCGACAGCCCGCCTTCCCCCCCACCACAGGCTCGTCAAACCATCGTAACGTCTGCTGCAGGGTGTGCAGACGACCTAACCCGCTCCGAAGGCGACCGAAATCCGCACTCAGCGATTGGATTCGCTCCACAAACTGATACAAAAAGATGAAATACAGCGCGATATCCATCAAAACAAGGTCGCCACGGAAGTTCAGCTGCTTCAAGACTCCCAGCATCGCGACAAAGACGAGCGTGATGGCGGTCGAGAAGACGGCGGAGTAGCCGTGAATGGCGCGATCGAAGTTGACGCGAAGGCGTGTGAGATCGAGAAGGATCGCCTGCAGCTTCGCTAAAACGAATTCCTCGCACTTGGCGACAAAAATCGTCTCGCTGCGCTGAATGATGTTCGCTAAGGTGTCGTGAATCATCGCCTCCTGCGCTGCCAGCTGCGCATCGCGGATGGAATGATGGCGGCAAACGAAGTGGTACACGTATTGCACTATCCCCACAATCAACCCAATGCAGACCGTTAGCGTAAAGGAGATGTACAATAAAATGATCAAAATAATCGCCGCCGATAATAAAGAAGGCAACATATTCGTGAGAAGCGCCCCCAGCGTATCCGATACGGTTTTCCCGCAGTTCATAAGAATGTGCGAGATTTTGGTCGAACTCACCACCGCAATGCGCTCCGGGTGGTGGGTGGATACAATGCGCTGCAGAGAATCCTGCACAAGGTAGGTTTGAGATGCCAACCCCGATTTGTACGCGGCGAGGTGGGCAAACAGCGAGACTTGGTGATAAAGAACAATTAAGGTACCCATCAAGAGGCAGCGGCAGAGGAGCCCGTGGCTAAAAGGACTTAGCACAGACCCCCAAATCGACTTCGCAACGGCCGAAGTTAGAACACCGTAGAAACGCTCACTGGCAACCCCTGCAACCGCCGAAGCATCCCGAACCAACGCGGACGATCCGTCAGGAAACGACGGTAACGGAGAGCCCTCACCCGCCTGAGAAGTCCCCTGGGAGGTCATTCCCTCTCCATACGATATAATATCCTTCGCAGAAAGCTGAATTGCCATACTCAGAAGAGACGCGAGCAGCATCGCAGCGGCAGAGAGACTAATGACACCAGAAAATGGACGCCAATAGTGCATAGCAAAATAGAACAAAGGTTTCTCCAAGTGTCCTTTGGGATTACAGCCCAATGATTTTGCCTTCGTCATCCCTCGTCTTTGAACTATCGCAATCTTTGCTACGAAAACTAAAATGGACCCGTTAAAATTTGACACTAACGGAAAAAAGAAACACAAAATGGAAATTAAAAATGTAGCACAAAGAGAATAATAGGAATAATAGCAAGCACGGAATTCCTCTATTTTTTTCATAGTTGTTTCTCTTAATTCGTCCTACTCGCAAAGATCAAAACATGCAATATAAAGAGGTATCGAAAAAGAAGCCATTTGAAAACTTGAAGCTCAGTGAGCTTAGAGCTACCCCAACTCCCACACAAACACACATACCTCTAAAATAAACCCTTTTACCTCTTGGGCTATCGTGAATTATAACAGAGAGAATAAAAGAGCTGATATCGTTGGAAATGTACCCAAACGCAGGTTGATTTTTGCCAGGTCTTGCATGCAATAAGAACGAGAAAACATGCAAAATGAAGAAATACACAACATACAAAACCATACTGTAACGAGCCTACACGGCATAAAAAGATAAAAACACACTCATACATGCATATCAGTAAAGGAAAAGCCATTACTTCTTTTCCCAAATCTCTCTTGAACTTTCGAGCACAGCATCGTCATTGAAAATAAAAGTACAGACAAGGTGCCAGACAGATCAAGATGAATGCAAATAAGGTACTTTATGTATCATTGCATTTTCACATTAGAAAATAATCCCACACACGCACACACTATTCCAAAACACACTAACACTCATTCGACGCCGTATACTTTTATTAATTCGTAAGACTAACTGATTACCTTCCTTTTTCCAGAAAAATGAAAGTAAAAAAATGAGACAGATATAGTGTATGACAGATAATATGATTAAGTAGTAATGAATGGTAAAAAAAACCACAGGAAAGTCAGTGAAGGATATAGAGAAGATTTTACATGTGTATTATAAGGAATTCCAATCTTGTAAGCAGTATTGATTGCTTTTTCCCTCATCAATACACTATTGAAGAAAGGGAATACAATTGAGAGGGAAGATCGCATCACTTACAAGAGCTGGGCGAAAATTAAAAGTCCACCTCAGACATTTGCACATGTGGATGCTCATCCATTTGTAAAGGCTATAAAAAAGCGTCAACCAACAATAGAAGCATCGACCAGAAGTACCGCCGCCGCCATCCCTCGGGGGAAAAATTGGTGGGTGTTTCCACCTTGAATGAGTAACCCTCAGACAAGCAAATGAGGTAAGCAGAAAAAAGCTTTCGATGTATTCACTATCAACTTATCATAATTCAAGTTTCTAACTATTAGAGCGTCAAGACTCGAAGAGAATGTTCAATTGCCGCAATTCCGTGGAGCTTAGGATTCGACCATCCATCGCTTGCACGTACGGAATTACGATACTTTCAAGCGGCTTCAGATTATGCTTTGCCTGGCGTACCTCATTAATGGTGTCTACGGCCTTTTCAGTCTCGCGAGAGACAATCAAAGCCTCCAATTCAGGGATCAAGTCCGTTCCGCCGGCCTGGTCGTGTATCGTCTCGATTTCAAGAACGAGATCGCTTCTGACTTTTTCTAAAAAGCGCTTCACATTCGCCTTGCGAATATCAACGGGCTGGATTTTTTCGGAAAACTTCTTGTCCTTTATCATTGATTCTCCCGTAACCCCTACGAGCAGCTTATCCGTCGCGTACAAGGCCGCCATCGTCAGAAGAAGTTTGTGGCCAAAGTGCAGACGGTCGAAAGTGCCGCCGAAGGCGATGTACTTGTAGATGGGTTGAAATCCCTTGTTATTCTGCATGGCAGAAGCATTGAACAGCAGAGGCGAAGCCGCACCCTGCCCCGCAGTAAGATTTGCGGAATGCACTTCCTCATCCATCGCAGCAGGTGTGGGGATCACATCAAAAAAAAAAAAGAGACACTCTCGAATGCGACGTTGTAGAGATGCTGCGCATGCTCGAGGAAGGTCCCACGATTCATATTGTGGACATGGAGAATAACGTCAAGGTGGCAGCTGTAGTGCGTAGGGGGAGTGTGTGGATCCGAAGGAGGGTTTGTAAAAAGAGGCTTAAGAAATCGCAGAAGCTTCTTTGCGTTAGCTTCCTTGGAGCAACGCGTGCTTAAGTGAATATAACGCAACATCGCAGGTTAATGTATTTCTATACCGTTCGCTTATTTTATTTTTATTTGATATCTAGCATATCTATGTTTGGGTCAAAGGAAGAGCAGGGGAAAACATGGTAACGAAGGCTTACTCTCATGATCACTGTCTTGAGTGGCAGTCCATAAACCCCCTTATTCACCCATTAATATCTTCGCTGTGGGGCATACCACACAGGCCTCCCAGCCCATTGGTGTTTATCCTGTTTATCATCGTCGCTTCAAGCGAAGGGGAGCAAAAGAAGCCTTAGCTATAAGCTTAAACAGATGAAGAAGCCCATTCCTTTAAAGGAAGTGATGTTTATGCTTGTACTCCTCCTCCATGTCCTTGAAGTGGTACACCCGAAAGTGGTGATTGAGCGAAGGAATCCCATGAATCGCGTGCACGGAGCCCAGACCGCCATCCACTCGATTAGGAAAGCAATAAAACACGCGCGCGATGCGGCTATGCACGAGCGCCATCGCACACATCGCGCAGGGCTCATGACTCACGTAAAGATCCAAATTATTCGCGAGGTACGGCGCGGATGGTCGGCCCTCAAAGATCTCGGCCGCCCTCGCCTTCTTCCCCGCCGCCGCCGCGGTGGAAACGCGCTTCAACACGGCCATCACGGGATGCTCAAGGACGAGGCCGGTGGAGTGAGAAGGGCAGCGCGCCCGCGCGACGTACGCGCAGCAGGCGCTGAGATTATCCCGCCGCATCGCCGTGCAGCCCTCGCTATCCGCCACCCAACACCCTTGCGAGGGGTCGAACACCGCGGCGGTGATTCCGAGAAGCGAAGAAGGGGTGGCCTCACACATCGCGAGCACTTTGCCCCGCATTCGTGAGAGGGCCTCGCGGGAAAGTTCCTCGGAGGGGGGCTGAAGAGGCCGCGGTCGCGGCGTCGCGAGCGGCCACGCCGCATTCCACCGCTGCCAGAGATCCCGCCGCTGCAACGGGGCGTGGCTGGCGACGAGAACGACGCGAAACGGGAGCCCTCCCTTCTCTCCTTTCTCTCCCTCCTCCGCGTCCGCATCGGTCTCAGGGAAAAGCGCGCGAAGAAATTCGCGGTAGACCCTTCGCCACAGGGAAGCCTCCACGGGCCCACCACGGAGGCGGTCGGCCTCTCCCCCTCCCGGGAGGGACTTCTCCCAACGCATCCGGAAGCTCTCCCCGCCCTCGAGGAGGAGCTCCAAGGGGAAACGCGCCTCGTCTTGTGAATCACCCCCCTCGAGGTTAGCGGCCGCGTCCGCGAGGGAAGAATCCTCAGCGGAGGCGTTCACAGACCCGTGAGAGGGATCGCTTCGCCGCCGAATGCGCTTCAGGTGCTGCGTGCTGCTGTCGAGCGGATGCATCTGGTTGGCAATACGAAGAAATTGCTCAGTTAATCGGGGATCAGGGATGCCTACCACAATCGCAGGAACAGCATGCGGAGGCTGCTCATATACGATTACCTCCTCCATGGTGTTTCTTGAAGGAGACTATATGTGCAATTGATCTAACTTGGGGCTAAATAATGCACTGCTCTTTTGCATGGGAGCCTAGAAAGAAAAGAGAAGAAAAAAACACTGAATGCAGCCCACATAAAAAATGTTTAGTACTATTTACATAGACACTATTCCAAAGGAATAGAAGCTTGTAGTATACTTAAGTTATTACTTTTCCGAATGCATGCCCTGGAGATCCGTCGTTTATTTCGACCTTTGAGTATCAGTTCATCATTGATCCAGTAAAAAGGTAGAGTCAATAAAGCTAAGGGTTCTCTTTATACGAAATACGGTGAATCGAAAGATACTCGCCTGTGTACCGCTCAGCGCAGCAAACCACTTGCATGAGATCCATTTCGTGATCATAGTCTTCCTCTGGTTGGTCATCCAAGATCCCGCTGGCTTCACCCATCTTCGTCTCGGAATTAAAATATCGGCGAAACTCAAGTTGAATCTTTCGATAGACATCAGGGATATCATTCTCCTTGATGAGAACTATATAACAACATCCGCTCCGGGATAGATAGCGAGGTAGCATTTCAATGAAGCGATCCAGCACGACTCGCCCGCGTTCCCCGCCGCACCACGCCGAGGTGATGAGGTCCTTTCGTGTGAGTGCTTGCTCAAGCTCCTCTGTGGAGGTGGGCACATAGGGTGGGTTGAACAAAATGACATCACAGGAGTCAACCCTACAAAGCCCCTGGAGATCATCGAAAGCATGCAGGAGATCGCCCCTTAGTAGAGAAAGCGTGAAAGGCCACAGTGTTTGGAATTTTCGCAGAGGAGTCTCGATTCGTCCCTCGTTATCTGTGTGGGTTTCTTCTGCGACAGCCTCAATGGAGAGGGACCCGTCCTCCACTCCCTCCAACTTTGAAGGGTACGCACACAAATCGACAGCATTCGGATCAGGGGGTGGTACTCCCACGCTGGAGCCGTCCTGAGATGTGTGGTTCTGAACCAGAAGCTTCTCGATTTCGCCCCAAAAGTATTTTTTTATAGTCTTCTGCCATGTAAGCGCGGTCGCCTGGAGTGCCAGTGGATTCACATCTATCGCGTAAAATCGTTTGCCATGAAGAGGCGTTCGACCAGAGCACTCTTTTCTGCAACAATGTACGACAACAGAGGAACTCCACTTTTCATCGTGTCTTGAGTCCTCAACGCCGAAAGTGTTGAGGGAGTCTATGTCTTGCAGAAGAGCGAACAGGTGAGTAATGACTACACCAGATCCACAGCCTACTTCAACAATACGGCAGTCTTCCTTCCCCGATAGAAGCCTCGATAAGTATGATCTTTGCTGATCGAGTGCATCGAGAAAAAGAAAGGTGTCCGCCTCGGGCTCGTACACATTCCCTTGAAAGGGTGAATCTAAGACACAGTGAAAGTACTCTGGGGTTGTATAAGCGTCCATCGCACCTCCAGACACTGCTAGAGTCTATCGTTAATATTAAAAAATGGGACACTTGATAGTAATTATTGTGCATATGCAGCTATATTTGTTTCCAAGCATGTCACAAAGAGAAGGGATGAAAAGACATCCTTGGGATGTCAATTGTCCCGTGTTACGATTATTTTTTAGGACATAGTATACAATGGACTACGAATCCCCATAAATTTAAGCCATCTCCTGAAATTGGGTCAAGGGGATCCGACTTCGAGACCCTAACAGCAGCCGCGCCGTGACCTCTGCGTCGCTGAGCTCCCCCTTCACCCGCATGAGAGCGAGGTCGGAGAAGGCGTCGCGCAGGCTCCGAGGACTCGCCTCCAGGGTGGCCTCAGCGGCCTCCTCGGCAAGGTCCTCGTCGTCGACCTCGGAGGTCCTGCATTTCCTCCGCGTTTTGCCCTGAAGGTGGGGATCCGGGCCCCCCTGTAGGGGCTGAACCTCCAGGCAGGAGCAGAGGCCCTCATGATAGAGGCTCCACTGCGACGATGCGGACGGTGCCGTCGAGCACAAAGGGGCGCATTGGAGATTATTCGAAATGAGGAGCACCTGACGCAGCGCAACGGCAGGTGGGTCGGGAAGGCAGTGGCCATTGACCGCGCTCTTCCCTCCCTTCACCGGTGAGGAAGGGCAGGGCCAGTTGGATACGAAGAAATTATGCAGTAACCCCCATGGACAGTGCGGCGCGAATAGAATCAAGAGCTGATGCTCGTTTGCAGGACGATACACGCCGTGCGTGTTGTTCGTCTCAACCTCGATACCTAATCGCTGACAACATAGGCTATGTAACTGGTTACAGATTGGATCGTAGAAGCTCGTATTGAGAGGAATTATGTTTCTATTTTTAGATTGAGAGCATGGATGCTTCTTGTGTTGTTGCTGCTGAGGCTGGGGCGGTGTAGCCACTGCATCCATAGTGGAATTTGCATCCAACTTGGCATCCGTTGAAGTTGATAAAGACATCACAGACACAACAGAAACAGAATTTATGGCGCGTTGACAAGCATCCCGCAAGGCTATTAATGCAGACATTTGTAAAAATCCAGCTAAATGCTGCTGTTGCCCTTTTTGTCGGTCGAAAGGGCCGATGCCGAGGGCAATTAAACGAACAGAAAGAAAAGATGAAGTTTTTGGATGCGGCTCCTCGACAGCACGATCATTCCCCTCTCCTTCGCAAGTGGTCTGGTGCAAGTGAGAGTCTAGAAAATCCTTCACGAATCGCTCCACGAACCGCAGCGGCTTTTCTAAGGAAAATACGCTGTTTGAGCGGAGAGAACACGCCGTGTGCCGCAAATTCTTTACTAGCTTCGTCACCTGTTTACTGGTCACGGGAACCTCGCCGTCGGAATCTAAAGCAGATGTTATCGAATTAGCGGAAGGGAAAGCATGGCGATTCCGGTGTGAAGTTTGATTTGATGCTTTTTTACCATCATAGTTAACCACACGCCACATGTGTATATATTTCTAGATAATAATTAATCATCTCGATCAATTGAAGGGAAAAAATATCAGGATAAAATTGCACTGTGTGAAATCATTGAACCGCTCTCCTCAGCATAAGGTAGGCTACCGTTTGAGCGGAGCTAAACACATTGTCCACCATAATTGTGTAAGAAGTTCCCCGTCACCATCAGAAACCCATATGATACCCATATGAAAAATGCGCATCTAAGATTTTGATTTCCGACACGGATCTCATCTTTCTGTCAAAATCATCGTCTTGACTCCACCCTACCCCTTTTCGCTTCAACTCCAGTTCACATGAGGTTTACGTTATAGGTGAGTTCCTTCATACACCTGAAGCCTGGAGGACTTGAAGACGCTCAATTATTGCCTGAGTGTTAAATTTAATGACAAAAAGCACCTCTGGTCTTAGCATAGGCTACAGCGAACACAAATACGCGATGATTGATCGGACTTCAGGCACTCAATCCAGAATTTTGAATACGCTAGAATGCTTCTTTGACCAAATTGCTACTATTTGTTTGTTCCTCGCGGAAGGGTCCTCCTAGTAGTGGGCGCAGAAGTAGCACGTTGAGCCCAAATGAATGCCCTTCGTGACGATTCCAATACCACACAACCACCACATGCCCCGGATAGCAGCGTATCGAAGGTTGAAAATAGCCCTTGTTCTAGATTAGGAACCTTTGATAAGATTTCAGGGGAGGCTTTATTCGCTTTTGCCAAGGCCTCAGTGGAAGTGCGAAGATTAGGGTAACATTTCTGAGAAATAAGCAGTAAATAAAGAATATAAGATTATAAGAATATAAGAATATAAGAATATAAGAATATAAGAATATAAGAATATAAGAATATAAGAATATAAGAATATAAGAATATAAGAATATAAGAATGTAATGAATACAGTAAATTAGTGGATACATGAGATAGTATTAGTAAATTCATATGAAGAGCCCCTGAACATTTGTGATGAGACCCAAAGGGATTGTAGGGAGCAGAGCATCGGCGATGTTTCGTGGCAAAGCCTTGGGACAACAGGATATGGGTTGCTTAAAATGTTTTCTTGTATCCAGGGTTATGAGACTGGCGGGATTCTGATAAACTCAAGGTGCGGAGTTCCTAAAGAAGTGATCCGATACCCTAAGGGGGGGAAGGGGGGCTCAGAGATTGTCCGAAATGAAGATATAGCCGTACCGCTGCAAGTTTCACAAATTGTCTCAATCCTTTCATTGAGCTTTAACGAGGTATGGTTTCCATTTTGACTAAAGACGCAGAAAATGCTTAACTACATCAAATACGTATCCAAAATGAGAGCATTCTTTGTTCTTCCCTGCAATTGTCCTTTTTCCCCGAAACAAAGCTATCATATAGTGCATGAGAAAGTCATCTGATGTGAATGAGTCTGGATAAACGCTTTTAAGAGTACATTTATGGGTAGATGTTTATGTACAATGAAGCACTAACAGGTAGGTTTGTTTTTAAGAAATGTTTGTTAACCAAAAAAGAATGGGAATTCTTCACGACAACAAACTCAAAAGGATGTGAAGCAAATAAGGAAATAGGATATGAAAATACGCAAATATATTGTGGGGGTAGAAAGAACTTACCAACGCAAACGAAAGAAAAATAATGCATTTTTGGTAACCAAATGCATGTATTTAATATACAAACCGGCACTCAACTGAGCCTTTCAAATGCAAAACCTTGACATATTTCCCCCTATTTGTTTAGTGTCTAAAAAGGTTCGCACACCAAAAAAAACAATAATAGTGTTATTCCATATTGGACGTACTTCAAGTATACATGCACACGAGTTTGACCTCTTCCTACATGTAAAAGTAGGTGTCCAGAACACGTTGTCGAATTTGCTGACCTGTTAGTACCTCATAAAATACCATAACCAGCCACAACACACAAAAGAAACAAAGTAACCCGAACAAGACAGTAATCGGATAAAGCCAATGGACCTTATACCCTTGATATAAGGGACATTCGTTGTACTTGGTTGAGCGTCCCTCCATAAACACGAAAAAAATGAAGATGACGTGCATAAGGATAAGTGGAAACGAAAAAACGCCGTACCATGTGTGAAACCGAACGTAAACGTATACAGTCGCCAAGACGAAAAAATCAACCCATATAATCCCAAAATAGAATGCAATGAAGGTCTTAGTATTGTAAGAGCAGCCGTGCATATTGCACAAATAAATCAAGATGGTTACGATTGCCCCAATTATAAATGCTAAGATTTGAAAGATCAAAATACGTGTCATGATGTGTGTAGGCATGTTCTCGTTTAACATCCTCCGCCCCGCTTCCGTGCTCATCATAGCAAAGCCAAAGCTATCACAAGAATGGGATAAAACAACTTGCTGGATGTTAGAAAACATAGATAACAAGAATGAGCAAATGCCGGTGCTGAGAATTACCCAAAAAGAAGATGAGATTACGAACGGCACGTCCCCTGAAGGATCACGCATGATTGAGTTGAAATATGCCTGTATAGTAATCTGGGGAAGGGCGTGAAGTAAACCGTTGATAAGTTGTTGCATGGCCATCCCATTTCGCAGATCGTAGCGAATGACAAAGTATTGATGTTTATTCGGCGTAAGTTGATAACGAAGTGCGACATAGAGGAGTCTACATTCGTACAAGGGAATGATGGGAATGATTTTTGTAAGATTGCTGGGATAGGACCAGATAAAATTTTGGTACACCCTAATCCTTCTCTCCTCCATACGCATTGTAAAAACCAAACTCAGGATGTAGCCACACACATAGCAAATAATCGTAAGGTATGCTTTATTGAGCTCGTCCAACATTATCCAATAGACTATTGTCCACAGAACGGAGGCAGTGAACAAAGCAGCAATTAGCATACTAAACCAGCCTGTGAATATATTGATCGACACCGCCATTCTAAAGATGGGGAGAAACCACGAGCGTATGGGTTTAATATCTTTCCGCAGGTGCGGAAAGTCACCGATGAGCTTAATAAATTCAAAGCCGGAGTTGCGTATCAGACACACTTGTTTCTCAGAAATGCGCGCACTCTTAACGTTACACAGGCAACGGAGGTAATCGCTTTGTTCCAACTTGAGAACATCCACATGGGGTTCCCCATTCAAAACATGATCCAACTCGAGCTGCACCACCACCTTCACCCTCTCATCCTCCAGGTCGACATAGCTAGAGTCTAAAAAAGTTTTTATCAGAAACGGATTTCCTGCCGCCAGCTCAAACACATCCCCCTTAATGGTAAACATCCCCGACTTGAGGGATGCTAAAATGATGTTAATATAAAATTCATCCGGAGTGCGTAGATACTGCAGAACCGTCTCGCGGAGATCGAACATGAGATTCGAGTTCTTCAGATTTGCCACGTGCGTGGACTCCCCCTCACCTGTGGGTGAGGAGTCGGAAATTTTCATCATGGAGGAGGAGAGGGAGGTAGAGGAGGTGGTGGTGCGGTGAGCTGAAGTCGAGTGGGGGGTGGTCTGATATTCGTCATACCCCCAGTGATGCCCGCGGCCGCGGGTGCGTTCCTCTGCGAAGGCCTCGCCTTCCTCCCCGACAAGGCGATGCACGCCGCGGGCGACTTTTCCCGAGATCCAGCGGTAAAAAGGAATTCCTCCCCCTCCGCCTTTCCTTTCACCTTCTCCTTCGCCTACTTTCCCCTCCCGCTCCTTTTGGCGCGAGTTGCCCGTGTGGACGCCGTCCTCGACATCACAGACGACGTCGAGCGTGACGTTGTGCAAGCAGTCCTCGTCAGAAGAGTCGTTAAAGCTAACCTGAATCTTGCCATCGGACATCTCCCCATTCCAAAAATACTAACAGTGGGGCTTCAACCTTTTTTATGGTTAAAAATAGGGCTATTTTTATTTTAGCTTTTTTTGTACTCACCCTTTTGGAGATAGAGAACAAAAAAGCTTTCAAAGCAAATAAGCTCAGATATTTTTGTTGTTGTTATTTTTTTAGTTCCTAAAATCCTTTTTGGATTGTCTTTGTCCGTATTTTGGTGAGAGCCAATGCACCTCTAAAGGTGAACCTTTCAACCAAATCAAACGGCAGACACTAACCAAACATAATGATTCAAAATAAAATGGTAATATGAAGTTTTCGAGATGCTAAAATTTTTATAAGCTCGCACTTCAAATATGATGCCTAAGTCAATGAATAAGCTTTTTGAGTGTAATGATAAGATAATGATATTTTTTGCATTATGACAATTCGAATTTCGCTTAGAAGACAAATTTCTAGGCGAAATCAGTGATGAATCCAAGAGTAATGGATCGGGTTACTTCCTCAGACACACAATACAGTCCACACAAACTGCACCAATGAATTGTGATGCCAATAAGAAAGAAAAAAAGGCGGAGATCCATGAATGCCTCTCAACTAAACGCCCTATTCGGCCTCGAGGATCGAGCATATTAAGCCCCCCATCCGCCACCTTCTATATTCCACTACCTCCCCTCCCAGTGTCCTATAACCCCTCGGACATCTCAATAAGACGATTCCGAAGCTCTCTTAACTGTTGTTGTTGAGCAGGGTCCGCCACCCTCGCCAGGTCCGAATCCGTCATCAACAAAATCCGCTCCACATCCTCCTTGCTCATCTTACTAATCAACTGAATCACCTCCTCCTTTTGAGCCTCCGTGGTGCGGGATTTACCCCCTCCTCCACGGGCCGCCAAAGGGGTGGTGGCGATCCCGGCGGCCTCGGCGGGGGCGCCACCCCGCACCTGAAACGCCTCCGCAGGGAGCTCCGCGTTGACAGGGAGTCGCCCCGCGTGTTGGAGAACCACCACCACCGCTGAACGCAACGCCGGGATCTCCTCAAGAAGCGCCCGCGCCTCCTGACGATTCTCCAAGGCGAGCACGCGAAATTGCTCCACCGCCTCATAGGCATCCTCCACGGGCATCTGACGGAGTGCCTCTAACACCGCGGTTTCCTCGCCTCCAAGAACAGGATCGTGAAAACTTCGTGGGAAGGTCATCATCTCACGGCCTTCGGCATTAACTGGGGGCCCCCCCCCTCCAGGGGCCTCACGGCGACGTTTCCCTCTCGCGTTCCCGCCGTGGTTGCCCGTACGCGCCGCGGCGGCGATCACCTTCATCGCGCGGCCGCCGAATGCCATCCCGTTCAGCTGACTAATCGCCTCCGCCGCGCTGCGCTCGTCGATATACTCGACCAGGCCGCTTCGAAAATCCTTCCCAGGGGCGGGGTCGAACATGCGAAAGTCGATCGAGCGCCCAAAGCTGTCGAAATGACGCCGCAGCTTCGCCTTCTCCATAAAGAGCGGCACGCCAGTGAAGAAGACGGTTCGTTTTTGCCGCTGCATCTGGGTTGGCTTGATACGAGGTCTTCTTTTGCGGGATCACCCTCTTCTATTGGAATGGCTGCTCTACACCTTTGCTAGAGATTTCCTTCGTCAAACAAATAAAACAGAAGGGGAAGGAAGGAAAGATTTCATAGGTAATTTATCTCGCATAAATACAATTTTGGTTGCTGTTGGCATGCCGATCAGTCATGTAAGATAAGCACTGGAATCCTTTTTCATTCAGAGATAGCGCATGAACCCCTTCAATTAGCTGAAAAGGGAAGAAGAAGAAAAGATGTAAAGTGCAATATACTCAAATGTGAAACATATTATCCTCAATAATCCTCATCTTCATAGTCCTCGTGAGCATCTTCAAAGTGATATTTGGCTGTATACCACTGCAGCATATGATACGACATGTAAAAACTACCGATCCCAATCCGTACAAAGTCCGGGAACAATCGTTTAGTGTACAATAGCTTTAGATAAGGAGCAAAGGTAAAGTAAAAGGCCGCGGAAAACCCTAAGCGAGCACCCCATAATGGCTCGTTAAGACGTGACGTGCAGCCAGTAGAAACACAAAGCGTCAAACAGAGCAATGCATTACTATGTAAATTGGTCACACGAAACACACCATTCTCCACAGAGTTGAATAAGAGAGAGATGAAACTTATTCCAATCAGTGGAGTGTTAATCTCGTAAGGACTAAGGTATTCGCGACTGGCGGTGGAACCCATATCGACTATTGGATCTAATTAAAATATATTGAAAACAAAATGTGAATATGTGCGCGTGGAAATGTATATATCGATATGTGAAGAAAACTCCAAAATGATAATACTAGTCCTATTCTATTCGGTAATTGTAGCTAGCACACATATATATGCATATATCGATAGATAAATAGATAGATAGACGTCTATTCTATTAGAACGTTTCACACTGGTCCCTTGGGCTACCTCAGAGAAAAAGACCTAGTTGAAACTAAACCACGAAAGTTAAGAAAAGCGCAAAAAAAAGCAATATGCTTATACTGAAAAAAAATAAAGTGAAGGGGAAAAGCTATTAATCAAATAAAAAAAAATATGATACATTCAACGCTATCAATCCGAATCACACCGAAGGAAAAATATCTACATTCAGTTAAACCGTAGTGAGCTACATCTTCATAATCTATTCGCTTCCATATCCCTAACTTGAGATACATCATTAAATCTTTAAAGCTTAGCTCTTAAGATACTATTAGAATAATTGCTAAATACCATTAACTGTGCATCAATATTCGATTTTTAGCTATAGATTTAAAATTTTAAAAAACTCCTCTCACTTAAGTACAACGAAAAAGGATGAAAAGGATAAATAGAAATAATGTATAACTGTTTATCGATCAACTATTCACCCAACAGACTACGGGAAAAAAAAACAGAGAAAAGAAACTAAGAAAGCGAAGCTCTCCTCCCTACATTTGCATCAACTGCGCCCTTGCAGCATCCGACAGGCAACTGGCATCGGCCTCCACCAGCTTCCTCATTATCACTTGTCTCACGTTCTCGGGGACGCCCTGCAACACTGGATGATTCTGCGTGATCCACAACAACAGGCGATCATGAACGCGCTTGGCCTCAATGGTATCCCCTTTACATGGGAGGTTCGCCACGATTGTCTCCAACATCGACGTCACGTTGCTCATCAAGGGCTGGTAGAAGTAATGCAACATCGAGACGTAGGCACTCACCGCGTTGCAGGTGCAGTGTTCATACAGCAAGGTCTGGCTTTCGTTGGAGCTGAAGTAGGGCACCAACGCCTGCTGCGCGTGAAGGGCGAAGTCGGCCCCATTCACGTTAGGCTCCGCCAAGTTCATCTGCGATCCGAGGTACTGCACGAGCTGATTGATTAGGTAAAAGTTGCTCTGTAGCAGATCCTCATCCTTGCGTGAGCCTGTGAAAGCCAAGGTGGTGGAGAGGATCGTGGGCAGTGAGCTCGCCACAAATCCGGGCGCGTGCTCCACAAAATCACACAGCACGACCTGCCCACGCTGCACGTTGAAATCATCCTCGCTCGGCTGAAGCCATCCAGCGATTAGTGGTAAAAAGCTCTGCGCGAAATAAGGTCCAAAGATGGTGCTTGATTTCTCCAAGAGCGTCCCGATGAGATCCGTTGCAGAGCTGATGCTAGATTTCAGCTCATCGTCCGTCTCCTCAAGGTTGTCAATCTCATCCTCGTCTTGTTCCTGGCTCATCTTTGTAACGATCTCAGCGCGCTGTTTGATCAGCTCATTCAGTGTCGCAAGAAGCTTCTCACTAATCACGCGAACGCTTTCTTCGGTGACGATCTCTGGGTAAGAATCAACGATCGTGCCGAGGATGCTCATGAACGTCTCCATGACATCCTTCTCTTCCTCCTCAGCGAGAGCATCGAGGAGCGGGTTTAGAGCAAACTGCGCCAATTGCAACCCTTCCTGGGACTGATTTTTTTTGTAAACCTTGAGAATACCATCAACGATAAGTGCACCGTTTTCCCTAATCGAGGAGTTAGCCTGAAAGCTTAACTGCTCGACAGCAATGTTAGCAATTTCGTAAAAGTGAGGGCTGAGTGCCTCACCTAACTCAGTCACAATAGCATTAATAATGATCATCGCCAAGTCCTTATCTTCAATGAGAGAGGTGTGTACCTTGACAACTTTTTCACCTGCACCAGGTACAATCACTCGAATAAGCTCAACACCCTTCTTCTCGTCATCCTTCGTGCTTGTGTTGGCGTCGTCACCTCCTCCGACCTCCACATCCTCCATCTGTAGGTCGCATTTGGTGTTCATGACGGAAATAAGCAGCGGGATAACGCTCTGCATGTAGGGAAGGACTTCATCCTTGAGGCATTCAACCATGCAAGTCCAAGCGCGCAGCACGAAGCGAAAGCGAAGATCGTCGTTGGATATCCCACTCATAGTCAACGAGGATAAGTAGGTGCAAACCTCATGGGCGTAGGGTTTGAATACCTCCTTGCCTGCACTAGATGCCAACAAAGTCACGCACTCAATGGCCTTGCATTTGCATTTCAGAACATCAGGTGTGTCGGGCAAGCGAAGGACCTCTTGATAAACCGGAACGAGATCATGAACATAGGGCGTCAGCTTATCCTTGACAGCAGCGGTAAGAGAAGAAAGCATGCCTAATGCGGCCTCTCGGACAAACATATACTGCGTGCTATGAATCAGATTGACCCCCTCAATACAGCATGGCTTCACGTAGGGTTCGAATTCCGCAGCATACTTGTCATCGTTTTCGTCGTCCTCGTCTTCAGGCTCGTACAATTCGTGGAAGAAGGAATTCAAGCAAAGAGCAGCGCTGGCGGCGACGCGCGGGACGGGATCGCGCAGTGCCTCGATAATCGGCAAAAGCATCTGTGAGTGCATCTCGAGTTGCAGGTTAGGGCCGAAGTCCTGGCACATCTGCCCCAAACACTCCAAGCTCGAATAGCGCACGTACTTCACCTCGTTGGTAACACAAGAGAGAATGATAGGCACCAGCTTCTTCAATTGCTGCTGAAACACGTTGACGAACCCTTCTGAGGTGTAGCAAATGAGGACTAAGGCCGCGCACTTATTTCTCCATTCGGTGCTGAAAATGTTATCCGTAAAGAGCTTCTGTGCAGTGCCCTGTAGCTTGCGCCCACCGATTGCGGTGGTGATACGGTCGAGCCCATTGGCACCAATCGCAAAGTCGTTCTGCTCCTCCAGGTCTTCTCCTTCTTCATCAAGGGTGTTATCCCAATTATCCCCATATTCAGCGTTAAGGAGGTATTGAAAGAGCAAGTTAAAAAATGTTGTCGGGAACTGTGGAACCTTCCGAGCAATCTTGGGTTGTTCCTCACAAAAAGAAAGAAGAGACTCCACAGCCATGTAACGCGCATTCGCGCTCACAGAAGGGGTTGCAGCTACTTGCATCATGCCGGTCAGCAGCTCCACCGCATGACCTTCAAACAGTTGAGGGCTGTTTGAAATCCCCTCCACAATAGATGACGTAAACGCCTCAGCGCTATCCCAATCTTGAGCGTTTAACCGTTCTTGCACAACTTCCAACATAACAGGCACAAGGGTTGAAACCTTGGCACTAAATCCAAGAGTCGCGAGGGAAATCGCAGCTTCAAATGCTGCACTCTTTGCATCAAAGGCCGCACCCTGCGTCTGAAGACAGTTGCGTAACCCAACAATTAGTAAATCAATGTGAGCTTTAAAGAATTCAGTCATCGTACTGGCTGTGGTCGAAATGATTTCGCAGCAAACTGCTTTTAAATCTGCCTGAGATTCAGGCGCACCAATGACATCAAAAATACTTTTCCATAACTCATCCCAATCCTGATGCAGTTCAAAGACACGCACCGCAAGAGCGCTAACACAGGCCGCGGCCGATCCCCGCTGTTTACCAAATGCTGCTGTACCCAGTACCTGTAGCATCCTTCCTTTAATGGTCTCTTTTGCTGCAGCATCAGCGGTATCAAACGGAGAAGGACGGAGGTTAAAAAGTTTTCGTAGTAAAATGAGCCCAATTGAACACGTAGCTGAATCCTCAGTTACAGCACAGATCTCTGACAAAGCGTGCATTAACCACTCTGGAGTGGACTGAACAGCAGTATCATATTGAGCCTCGGCTGCCTTTCGGACCTCATTATCGGGGGAACGAAGATCATCTAGTAGCTGTTTAAGTTGTGCTTCAACCATTATTATGCGACTTTACGATTTTATTATTATTATATTTGTTTTGTGATTTAAAAAACCTAGTCAAGAGGAAAAGCTTGAGACTAAAAATGGGCTTAAAAAATTCAGCGTACCACTTTGAATGACATTTTTTCTATATTTTGTGCATTTTTTTCATTTAAAGCGTAAAGAGATTTTATCAATGTGTTCTTAAAGGATTTTTAAGAACTTGTTGTTTCCTCATGGATGAAGGGTATGATGCAGAGACAACACATAAAGTGTTGTAAAAATCTGATGTTTTTGAAGTCACATACGGTCGTATCTAAGGTTATTAAAGAAAACGGAAGAATATATTGAATATATTCTCATTTGAGGAACTTGTGTAAATCATAAAACTGCATAATTTGAAAGAATAACATATGCTTCCAGTGCGAAACGCTTTACGCAGCAGCATTGTCTTCAGTCGAGAAGAAAAAGTATATCTGCGATCAGATGCCATGGAATGCAAGTGGAAAGCAGTCAATCAAATGTAAATTTTAACAATGTTTAATTCAAAAGAAGTAGAAACTATTGTACGTATAGAAAAACGAAGCAATCGAAGTTGATGATGCTCCTTCATGATAACCTTTGGTGGATAAAGTAGCGCATTGGAGGCATTTTTTCCTCTCTCACTCACGCCTTTCCATAAATTCATCACAAATAACTTACCCAGAAAGGGGTGATTTTCATAAACAACTACTTGGTTGAACTATTGACACTTCAGCATCCTCTTTCTCTTGAGAAACTAAAAGACGTAAAAAAAATCAACAGTCAAAGGAATCCAACGAGTTTACAACTGTCCGAACAAAACGTGGCAACAATCATGCTACCTATTATTTCGATAAAATTTATGTTGTCCCCCTCAAAGTTCTTCAAGTAACTCATTTAGCTACTATGACATCTCAGCGATATCGAAGTGTTGATATTGCTTCTGAACCAATGGTTTTTCATACAAAGTTGAAGCTTGAAACAGTAACAGCTGCGCAGGGCTCAGAAAACATATTAGTACGCTGGAATATTGAAATATCATAGGCGCAGAGCTGTGATGTGAAGCAATATGTAATTTGCTGAACATCTACCTTAACACCTATACCACTTACTCACCCTGATTGCATTGCTATGATTGAAGATTTCCTGAATAATCATCTATCCGACTGTAGAAATTGGCTTATAGGAAACTTAAGCAGTTCACGAATCTAGATTGCTTACATTTGAATGTACCGTTAAATGGCATCGCCTTTGAAAAGACTGTTAGTACCAAGGTCGATATATCTTACGGGGTTTGCATTTGGTATTCACATTTCCCTGAGTTCCGATGCTCGTTGTGTTTGGTTTCCAACGATTATTGAAAAAGCGTTCCATGTACAACACACAGTCTTGATACAATGTTACTATTTGCTGCTCTTTAATTGCTCAAGTAATATGAAAGTATCTTTTCCCCATATATTTAGTAGAATTGATGCTGCCTTAATGGTGTTCAATTCGATGATGCCCGATGAAATGGATGCGAAATTCTAAACTGATCAAAGAAAGGCCTTGAGTATCTGAGCCGGTGAAAAACATAGTGCAAAGCTAAAACTAGCCTGATTGGTATATTTCTTATTATAATATGTGGTTGTATTTATTGTTCATTTCAATCAAATCCTTTCTGTATGCAACAGAAAAAATGTATATTTATGGAATATTATGTGTTTTTGGGCTTTTTTGCGAGGGTATAAAAAAGTTTGAGACATTTGTATAGTTAATGTATGCTTAGAAAGCTTCTAAAAAAAGCTGTTAGTTTGTAAGGAGTGTAGGTTTGGTATTGCTACTTCGATAATTGCCCTTATTTTCTAATAAATAAATCTCGCCTCATACCTTTGGGATAGATTAAGGATACGACACTCTGTCTTCCTATTTTTCTTCTATACCTCGGTACTCTAAAGAATGAAACCATAAAAAATGTGGAAAGGGATATTTCCGCGCACCTTGCTAGCGAGAAAAAAAACACGACACACGTGACATGAATGCATGGGTCAAAAAGAATTCCATTAAAAATGTCCACCTGGCTAAAACTGTAAGAATAATAAATGCGTACAGAACCTCATACATTACATTATATACATTAGTGTCTTTGCTATATTGCCCGTTGCCTCGTTACCAATGCATTTTTTTTTTGATTTGTATGCACGAAAGAAGCCAAATTGATGCATGAAGAAGCAATGATTCATAATGAAATGAATTTGAGGAAGGAAATAAGATTTGTTGTAACACTAAAAAAAAGAATGTTGGGCTCCGTTATCTAATCAGGGTTTTCGGACCGTAAACAAAGGTCTTTTTTCGTTGATTCTTCGAGTATTAATGACGTTATATGGATGACCTACTAATTTTGAAGTTTGTGAAATGTTATTCCGAAGCAGATAATGCGCAATCCAGGTGCATGGACTGGCATCTCCAGCACACTGGTTAAACGCGTCACCGTTTGTCTTTTGCACTTTGCTAAGCAATGCATGCAATGCAGGAATCAATGTAGGAAATACTTCTTTCCTTAAATAGTCCATACTTTCATCTTCAGTACAAGCGATGGCGTCTTCATTAAACCATAGATCTTCCTCAATTAACCTAACGATGAAGCTCTGAATCTGTGATCCAAAATCATCTAGAGACATCTATAATTTTGCTAAATCTAATGCTTTTCAAAGAAAATATTAAGCGTAGGAAATACACTAGGGGAAAAAACGTGAGTGCATCCAATCAAAAAGGTAAAAGCTACGTCGTCGGAGCTACCCCTCTAGAAAAAGATCGAATTAGTCTACGATAAATGTTCATATTCAAAGGTGCGGCGCATTCTACAGCCCATAAACAAACGTCGTCCATTATGCGAGCACTGATGGGGTGGGGCAATCAAGTTTCATTAACGTTATTGCCTAAAAGGAAAACAGGTTTAAAAATTATTGCTAATGTATAGAAACTCCCATATTAATGGTTCGCCCTGTGAAACAAATGGTAAAATGAACGGAATAAATAGGCCCCCCACACACCCCGGCAATTGTGTCGTAGGCAATCTGTCAATTACTTTTATCCTGATGAAATAGGCGTAAACTAATCACCTTGGCTTTATAAATCCATTGATTTCTGTTCCGAAAAAATTATTTCCCAATATGCACTCATGTATAGCGGCCCCGTCGCTACTGAAACTTATTTCGGGCTGTGCGCTTCATGTGGAAAAACTACTCCCACAAAGGAAACGAACAAAATGCACCCTGGTGCGGGGAAACCGGCGGTTTGATAGTGGGCCGTGGGCGCATTCGCTATGCGGTGTGGGGAACCCTTGGCGCGCGAGCAGTTACTTGTTCGGCCCTTACCCTTTCTGCTGATTATTGGACATCTTGAGCCTAGGGTTCTGGTAGTTGGGGCGTGCCAGCCCAAGAGGAAAGCCGAGAGGGTAAATATGATGGTTGTGGTAGTTTGCGGGGGTGGGGGGCCCACCTCCCCCCCCCCCCCAAGCGGTATTTTCCAGGGTGTTGAACTTTACGTGATGCGCCAGCTAACCATCGGTCTGAACATCGTTTCGAAGCACAGCAGATGATTATCTTTTTTTCACGGTGTGAATAGTTACATAGGAATAGTTGTTCAACAGGAATGGTAGTTGGTTTCTATTCCCTACTGTTGGGGAGATCCGCTTGGGATTTGATTACTTTTTTGCGCTGCACTTAATGCCACTCTGGCCGGGGGGGGGGGGGGAAAAGGGACTCTGACAACAGCACCCGCCACCGCATGCGTTATTTTAGCCGAGTTTGTGCCTATCTTTATTGATAATATGGTTCAACCTTCTAATAAGCTTGGGCGAGTTGTTTTGGTGTTATTTTTTCTTTATTTCCACACACATCCGCTCTATTTCATTACGAACTGTTTTCTAATCTATTAACTTTGTTTACAGGCATAAAAAAAGGGTAATAGCCAAGTGCCGGCCTCGGTGGCTCCACTTTGCTTACTTGAAAGAACTATTTGGTATTCCATCTTGAGCTAATTGCTCAGCTTTGTTTGCTCGCGTCAATAAAAGTTTTGCCGTTTGGGCTAGGCATGCTGTTGGTATTATTCATTGAATATCAGAGGAATGAGCCCAATGCCATCCCATATAATACCCCATGTGTGAATACGCAGGACGCGCTTTTCATACTGGATATCACACCAAAATTGGCTCATTTTGGCCTGTCTGGTCATCAATTGTGGTGTATTTATGAAATTATGAAAACATAAAACCACCCACACGCCAACTCAAATACTATAATGATTTACTTCTTTCCCTAGCTGTTGTACATCCAATTTGCCGCGGGGTACCACAGTTGAATAACCAGAATACATTACAATACTCATTATAGATCAAATCTAAGGAGAGATACTCTAGTTTAGCTGTTGTCTACATTCTTCTCACTTTCCGCGGGTCCTTTATTATTTTTGACTTTTAGAATTCAAACGCTTCAAATAATTACTCATCGCTTTTTGCACATCTGGACTCTTCAATAACTGCGTGTTGAACTCTGCATCATATTTCTGATCCTCATCGGAGGCCAACATATGAAGGTATTCCCGCCGCACCAAGTTTCACGACATCCACCTTGGCTGTTGAGGTGGGGTGGGGAAGCGCTTAGCCTGGCATGGTCCGAGAATATACGCGTACGCTTTCATCGCCCACTGTTGCATCGTCAACTATAACACACTAGTAAAATAGTATGAGCTACATGTAGGGTGGTGTCGGCGGTGTCCCATACGATTTACGTGTGCTATTTGTGTGGGTGGCGCTATGATTCCATGCTCGCGGCATCATGGGAGAACGCCCCCTGCATGGGGGAAGTTGTCGATGATGATATATTATAAATATATCTATAAAAAGATCTAAGCATTTTTAATTAGACATGATACTCTATGTAGTGAATAACCATGATAATAATCTAATATTTTTAACAAATCACAATTAATCCCTACGATGTTAATATGGAAATTGTGGGGAACCACTAATATTTATGGTGTTAAGATATCTGTTTATTGGCGCAATTAATATATGCTATAGTAATATAGATTTAAGGTGCCTTCATTAACATATTTTTTGGAAGCATAGCCATCACGTGGCACGATTAAAAGTTACTAGTGTAGCATATCATCGAGTGGCGACATTTAATGTATATATATATATATAAATAATACTGAATAAAGTAGTTTAAAATATGTGTGTGTATAAATATTAAGTTATTATTCAGAAATAATGCAGCTAAAACACTTTATAAATTTTTTAGTACTGGTAATACAGCTTTTAAATGCCAACTATTTTCAAGGCGCCACACATTAGGTCTTGAACAAATACACACATAAAAAAAGAATAGAGTGCAGAAACATATAAAATTACTCACTAATTCATATATAATAAGTAGTAATAATGGTAATATATATTACTTATATCCAATTTTACAATTTTAATGGAATTTTGGATTTGGTGTGGCGCCGCCTCTGTGGGTGGTGGGGGGAGTAGGCGCCCGGGGTATTGGGCGCTCGGGAAAGTGGTCTTTCTGGTGAGTGTATAAGAATTTTAAATGGGAAAATATTGTATATAATAACGAAATACATTATTAAAAATAAATTTATCTTAATTTTTATAGTGATTAATGATAGCGAAGTACGTTAGTTGCGCA